GCTGGAGGCCGGGATCTGGGCGCGCCCCCGCCACCCTCGGGCTGCGCAGTGGGAAGGCGGGACTGACCCCGTTGCTTTTCGCCCGGTGCCCCTCGCTTCTCTCGGGGGGGCGGCGGCTCTGCCCTTTCCAGCGGGCGGGCAGCAGCGTTGACGCGAAGACCCTCCTGGGGAGCTGCCCGCCCAGCCTGGCCTCCCGCGGCAGCGGATAGGGTGCAGCGCCGTGCCGGCCTCCTGAACAGCCGGGCTCCGTGGCGGTCGAGAAGACAGCGCTCCCTCTAAATCTGCCTGCTAGCAGACGGCTCCCCAAAACCACAAGTGGGTAGGGGTTTAGCCTATGCTCGCGTAAAGTCCCCGATATCCACGAGTGAAGAATTGTTGATCCCCTTAATCTATTTTTAGACCTGAGCTTCACTCTTCTAATCCACCATGGAAGCCGATTTTAAAATAAATGAATTAACGCCCTTGTAAGTCGAAGTCAGCATGCAGAAGACTCTTGTTTATGTAACAAATATTTGAAATCTTCATTAGCTACTGTAAGAGTTAAGATACCAGTGAAATGTGTTCCTCACTTTGAATTGGAGGCACCCTTGTCCCTGTAATGACTTCATAACGCATTTATTTCGGGTTCTTAAAGTCTTCACACAATGTAGTTACATCTGAGACACAAGAGGATCAATAATTTCATTATCAAGCTGCGTGCACTTGATAAAAACTTAGAGACATGTAGAGGGTTTGATATCTTAACCAATTAAATCATATGCTTTTCACTTTGCAAGTCATGATATAAAGAATGTTTGATGGCTTTGATCTAGTCATCCTGCTAAATCAAGCATTATTTCAGTTGAGAGTACAAACACTTGGCAAGAACACATAAGGACTAGTATGGATAGCACTGAACTGTGTGAAGTAACACATAATTATATATTCAAAACAAAAGCTAGAAATTTTGAGTTCAGAGATGTAGATAAGTCATTAAGAGCTAGCTGATGTATCAGTGTGCTTTGTCAGTTACTTTAAGTGACAGCAGAGAAAGTTTACTCATGCTCTACTCTTAACTCTTTCTAGGCATTAAAGTTAAAATAACATGCAGATGTGTTAGAATTACAAACACAAAGAGCTAACCTTAGCCACACTGACATATGGAGAAAGGCTAAAGAAATGGGGTTTGTTTAGCATAGAGGAGGGAGGATCTGTTCAGTCTCCCATTACTGAGAAACTAGTTACAGGGAAAGATGGAGGTGTACCCTTCATGAGGGACGGTGGTGACAGAGCTCTGGGAATGAGTTTCTTGAGGGAAAATTGGTTGTAGGAAGATGTTTCTTCGCTGTTGGAGCAGTTAACCATGAATAGATTGCTCAGTCAAGTGGTGGAGTCTCCTTTGAAGACTTGGCTTGTCAGGGTCCTGGGTTGTCTTATTTAAGGCCTTGAGTTTTGCAGAAAATGGGACCAGGGATCTCCAGATCCTTGACAACTTAGACATTTCTGTTCTGTGATTTACATTGCCAAGCAGTTGGAGATTGCCTCTGAGCTGAAACAGAGGCTTTAGTTTACATGGGGTCTTCCCCAATCTTACTGAATAATGCCAATAATGCTAATTGTTTTGAAAACTCTTGAGAAATTAATGAGCTGTCTGAGCTTAGATTTAACATGTGGTCATGGTAGCCACAATACATTAAATAACCACTGCTCAGTGTATTGTATATAATGGCTGTGCAGCACTGAAAAAATACTGTTATCTGAAAATCGGAACTGTTAATTTGAAACTATGTCAGGATGCCTTAATTTCTGGCTAATGAGCACAGTCTAAGCCTTCAATTAGAATAAAAATCACGGTTATCTAAATTAATGCATTTTTTTAAGTCCTGAAGTTTTTACTGAGCCAGAGGTTTTTCAGTTCTCTTACACTGGTTTTTAGATCAGTGTTTGGCAGATATGCACACATGTCTGTTAACAAATTCTAAGTCGGGGATTGAACCATAAGTGCATCATCCCCAGTTTAATCTTGAGGGTACTGTGTTTACCTCTTTTTACAAGTTCAAGGTCACTGAGTTCATCAAGCCTCCTGAGCTGGTACTGCTGCAACAGGAAATGTTCTTCCCGTGTTCCCTGCTTTTTTTGTGGTTCCCTAGTGAATTAGACGGGGAAGCTGAACCAAATTAAAGACAGACTTGTAACAAAACAAAAAAAATTTTTCAGTGACTTGATTTTGGTTCACTGCACTGCAGCAGAAACAACTGCATTTACTGTCACCAGGCAGGGTGTTAGAGGATGAAATGTTCCACACAGTGCTGGTCTTTTCTGTAGTTTGTCAAACAATAAAGGAGTAGGTACAATGATAAAGAAATTTGACTTCACTTGCTTTACTCGTCTTACTGGCTCAAAGCCTCCATGATTGTTTTTGTCTGTAGTTATTGTATGTAGCATCAGCAACAGTATTTAAGTAGTCTGATAGTGTTTCATGGAGACTGATTGTCACTATTGTGAGGTTTTGCAGAAGAAAACCCTCCAGTTTCTGAAGTCCTTCAGATTGTGGTACTTCATGGTGCATGTTGTAGCATGCTTACTCAGTTTCTTAAATGAGTCACTTTAAATGCTTCCTGAATTCTGTTGAGAAACTGTGATCTTTGTCCATGTCTGAAGATGCAGAGCCCTGAATCTCATCAGAAATATCTTTACTGCTTTTCTTGAAGCAGAACTGTAAAATGAATGATACCTGTTGTAAGCTTTCAGTAGGTCAGTTAGTAAATTTCAGCTGTCAAGCTTTGATTCTTGACTTCCTAAATTAATACATGACAGATTTGGGGGTTGTCTTACAAAGCGCTGTCCTCTGTGGAAATCAATGTATATAAAGTTTTTATGCTTCATGGTAATGTGCTGCTAAGAGAGTTGTATTTGTTAGTCTTGGACTATGTGTCTTAATTTTTTGTGAGGCAGGATAGCATATGGAGCAAGGATGCTGTATTTCAGTAGCTATATCAGGACTTGTTTCTGTCCAGTGGTGCCAGATGTTCTTGGCCATATATGAGTTCCAACACACTGTATTGGCTGTTCCTTAGTTATGCTGGTACTGTTAACATGGAGAATCAACTCTAAATAAATAAAATGAAAGCTAACTATATGTAAAAGGACTTTTTACATTCATTTTTCTGATACATGTGTTTTTAAGTCTAGATGAGATTTATTGTCTGTCTTGTGTGTACAGCCTTGTGGTTTTGGACCTAGTTTGCAGCAGTTTCTAGTGCTGAAGTTGGCATGTTTGTGTCTGGTTGGAAGTAGCTTAGCTGGATAACATAGTATGGAAATGTCTTTAAGTAGTTTCAGTAAAGGTTGGATTTTGGGTTGCACGGATCTGATCAATGGCAAAAGTTGATATAAGCCTGGAAGTGTTGATTTTGCGCATTGAAAGAATTTTTTCAGTAATCAGATGACTCAAGAGTTACTCTTGTTCTATGCAGAAATACCTTTGTGTGCAACATACATTTTTTGGCTTTCTATACTCAAAATATTTATAATACTACAAAGACATATTTTAGAATCTGTTGGTTACAGAGTAAGTTTACACCTTCTTTCTGCCATGATACTTGCAGTAATGGAGCTGTATGCTATTCTGTGTTTGATTTGAATTTTTTTTTTTTTTTGCAAGGCCTTTAGAGTTGCAGGGAGGGATTTTTTTTTTTTTTGAAGAGGGAATGCTAATGTTCCAAGGAGATTATAGATTAAAACCTTTTGTATGTAAGAACATGCAAAAGCTAAGAATTAAAGTAAAAGTTAGTGTAAAATCAAGTAGCTTCAGTTTAACAAGTCACCATTATTCAACTGGGTTGTGGCCACCCTTGTGCTATGTAATCCTTGATGATAAGAGTTTTGAAGTAGAAGTTGTTGACTTCTGCTTGTGAATGGCCACATGATGACTGTAGCAGCTGGTCAACCCCTTGAGGTTGTGTCATTGTACTGAAATGAGCATATGGTGCATTGTCATTTGGCTGCTGTATTTTAATTAGAAGAATTCTTTTGGAGTTGTGTTTTGGGCTGACTCACATCACCATTTTTTTCTTTGATCTTACTGCTTGTGATTCTGATGCAGAACCACATACAGAAATGATGTGGCTGTAGAGGTTTCTGTCCATATCTGTTGCCTCATCTTCAGAGGTGCCTACTCTTGATGGCCAGTTTACAAGTTTGTGAGGTAATTGCAAATTATAACTTAGTCTCCTAGGGAAAGATGGCATTAACTTTCAGTTTTCCTTAGCATGCTAAACTGTGGTTTCTGCCTGTGTAGCAGCTGTTTCACAATCCATCTTATGTAGTTAAAGGAGAGCAAGAATTTCTAGAAGAAGAATCAGCAGATGCAAGTGTGGGTGGCAAAATATGCATCCAGATAATTTTAATCTGAGTCAGAACTTCCAAGGTAAAATTACGTGAACATTTTCCTTCATTCTAACCCAGTGCTGTTGCTTTGGTGCTCTGTTGGAGCAAGTAATACAGATGTTTCAGGGATCATGCTATAAGCTAGGTGACTGTGATGGTTTGAGGTACAAACAAAACCCTCAAAGGTGTTAGTTAACAGGTATGGTAGCACATGCTTATGGAAGGAAATGAGCTGTGAGCAAGCAAGACATTCAGCATGCTAGCTACTCCGCTCTTGTATTAGATGCTTGGATTTGACATGCTTAATATCAGATGTTTAAATAAATTAGTCATCTAGACACCTTTATACCAGAGGACAAGAAATAAGTACCTCTAGATGGTAATTCGCCCTGTGTGCCTATTTATACATTGATTGATTACAAAGGAAGCCTTGCTTTTTCACACCTAACTTCTAGGCATCTGAAATTGGGTTTGGGACACAATGAGAGGCAGCTTACTGTAGTTCAGGGCCACCTTGCCCTTACTGCATATTTAGGGGATTGTTCATGTAAGAACTAGTGCTCCATATGTTAATAACCTAGTTTACTTTGTAGTGTTTTTTTCAGGAAGCAGGCCCTTAGGTTAATGTCTGAATTGGCATATTACTACTCTATAAAAGGGAGGGGTGGCTGATATGAAAAACCTTGTTGAGACAAGAGGAATGTTTACAGTACAAAGAACATAATTTTGTCCAGTAGATAAATTTCATGCTTGCCGAGCTAGGCTCTATGTGTTGCATCACTGTCAAAGACTGAGAATTCATAGATATTTCTGTTTTTGCAACCGTTTGTTAATTTCCCCATGATATTTATGGTGGGAAGTGTAAGTCTTATCTTTTTCTTTTAGGTTGACAATTGCATTTTTCGCACTCTCTGGTCTGGATATGTTGGATTCCTTAGATGTGGTGAACAAAGATGATATAATAGAATGGATTTATTCCCTGCAGGTCCTTCCCACAGAAGACAGTGAGTGAGTTTTTAGTTTTTTTTATTGATATTAACATCTTTACTTTTGCTTTTCACCTGGGGAATAGTGAATGGCTCTTGGATTTTATACAATACAAGGTTGACCTTCCTGAAGTGCTGTCCTGATAATTTCAGACAGTGATGTTGAACAAATCCTAGAAATAGATCCCTCTAAAAGTAATAAAGCTAGAAGTTTACGTTTCTCATGTATACAAGGTGAAGCTATGAAATTAATTTGAAGACAGTATAAAATTGTATGATGAAGTTGCACCTTTAAGCATCTCAGAGGAGTGTTTCACCTGATTCTAAAAGAAACGAGTATGTTATGTAAGTATTACGTGTCTAATAGTGATTATATTGACTTCCACTAATTGTAGCTATGCCAGGAGCTCTGAGCATGGGTGTGGCTATTTGGAACTGCTTTTGGGAAATGGATGGTCTAAGGTTAAGAAGCTGAAAGGATAAACACAGTTCCTGCAATAAAATGAAAAAATCTGTTCCTTAGATCTGTGAAGGTTAAATTTGCCTAGGGTTTTTAGAAGGAGTAATGCTGCTTCTGAGTAATGTCCTCAGATTGGAAGGTGCATGGCAGATCCAAGCCAGAGAGGGCACACCCAGGAAGTGCCCCTTTCCAGGTGACTTCACAGGAGAGGTGATGTTTCTGTGGGCTGGTTGGTATTGGGATTTTTTTCTGTGGCAGCACAGGTGGATGACCAATAGCAATAAAGGGGGTGGAAGGGAGAGAGATGTGGGCAAGTTACTCCTGCTTTATGATAGGAGGTGCTGGCATGTTAAGTGCTGATGTGAGGATAGCTCCAGGCTGATTGCTAGAGAAAAGGTAATTCCAGGTGCCCATCTCTAAAATCACAAACATGTACTTTGTATGTTGGATGGTTGTAGAAAGAAAATGGTGTGTTTCCTTATAAGATCTAGTCTAATTATATGTTAAAAATTAGGTCTTTCCCCTAAAAGCAGTTTTACGAAATAAAAGCATTTTTATGAAATAAGCATATAGAAGTCAAGATTGCTGATGTTTGATTCTTATTCTGGAGGCTAACAAACCATCAGATATACCTCAGGCATTAGTTCTAATAGATTTGTTTTCTCTTGTGTTGTATTCCAGGATTGATAATAGAAAATTAGGGGGTGGGGTCACATAATTAGTCCCACAATGTTTTTAATCATGAAAAGGTTCCTGTCTCTTAGCATTAAAAAAAATTTCCAGGGTGTAAATGCATTGTTTCTAGGAGTTCCTCACTTTCTGATCTTTATCTCAGTCTTCAGGAGTGCATTCTGAAAGAACAGTAAAGATTGCAAGAAGAGAGGCTAGAATAGGCATTGTTTTTTTTGGTTTTGTTTTGTTTGTCTTTGATAGTATGTAGTATTTCTCTTCAGGGGTTTTACCTAGACAATGTTTGGAATAGTCCCATTGTCAAGAGCCTCCTAGGGAGGGCAACATAAATTTCAGCATGCAAATGTGGAGACTAACAGTCCAGGGCACAGCTGAGATGTTCTCCTTGTTTTTCTAACTATCAACTCATCATAAAACTACAGGAGAGTAGTTTTGGGGAGGGCACCTTTGGCAGCACATTCTGTGCTTTTAAGCAGTAAATCTCCTTTTCACCAGAAGAACAAACTTCCCTCCAAACCTGTATTTTTATATCACATCTGTTCTTCTTAGATTTTTATGCTTTTGGTAATAACACTACTATATCTGGTCACTTGATCCCTAAAACTTGAGTATTTTATTCCATTTTTACTTTATCTAACAGACAACAGATGATGCAAAACGTTAAGTGATGCCAATAGCAGCAGGTTGAGATACTGGATGACTAAATATGCAGAGGGGAATGTATACCCTTTTGTAATACATGCCTTCAATAAAATGTATTGACTTTATATTTTTAATCCTGGGTGTGTGCAACTTTACTCTCTCTTTTTGCCTGTTTGAGGAAGCAGCTAAATTCTAGTAGGCTGCAGTAGTGAAGTTTTTGCTTTCAAAATGCTCATGCACCTCTAGCTAAAGAGAAGAGTTGCCAGCTTGATGCATCAAAATCTTGCAGGTAAAAAACCCCAACCTTACTCTGCTTTTAAAGAAACATTATATTGCAGCTTTTGTTACCTGCATGCTGATAAATCTCTCAGTGGAAAATTGATTTTTAAACATTTAAATTATAACACAGTTTTATGATGTAGTTTCTGGAATGATGTATTTCAGGAATCTTGCCTTAAGTAAATACATTTGATAGAAGTCTTCATTAATTTTGGCTATGGACTGACAACCTATTAAAACTTAAATTTTAAATTGGAATATATTTTTACAGAATCTTGGGGTTTGTTTTTGACCACATTACTGGTTGAATTCCTAAAATGAGCAAAAATAGAATTCTTGTAATTCTCATCAGAAAAATAAATTTCTCTGATGTTCATGTTTGTCCCTCTGAAGCTTCCACGTCTCCATAGCACTTCATTTGATTTTTATTTAAAGCACTTTTTTAAGATGACAAATTGAAATCAATTTGAGAACTACTGCTACCTTACGGTCATTTTTCTGATCAATGGGAGACTTAATATCTGTTTATTTTTATCAATAGCTATTACAGTAGGTGTACTGGTGGGGAAAGATTTTTTTCCGTAGTAGCCTGTATGTTGCTCTGTTTTGGGTTTATGACTAAAATAAGGTTGGTAACATGCCAGTGTTGTAGCTGTTGTTGAGCAATGCCTGCACAGCATGAAGGCTGTCTCTTTCTTCCCCCTCCAGTGTCCTTTCACCCACAGCAGATACAGCTAGGACTTCTGACTCAAACTGACCCAAGGGACGCTCCGTATCATGTGACATCATATTCATCAGTAGAAGTTCAGGGAAATGAGGAGAAAGGACATGATGTTTGTGGTTGTGGTGTTTGTCTTCCTGGGTAACTGTTAGGTGTGCTGAGTCCCTGTTTACTGGGAAGTGGCTAAACACTTGCTGGCTGATGGAAAATAGTGAATGAATTCCTCCTTTACTTTGCTTGTTCCTCTGGCTTTTGCTTTACCTATCAAACTCTGTCTCAATCTGTGAGTCTTCTCCCCTTCTCTCTTGTTTTCTCACCCTCCCACAGGACAGGGCTGTGTGGGTGCTCAGCTGCTGTTCACGGTCAACCCACTGCAGCGGGGCTTTACAAAACCTGGTAGAAAATTCAGAATTGGTGTTCTAGAATACTTTTAGGTAGAGTCTCATAATATACTGTGATAATTTTAGGCAACATGTTTGTATTTACTGGTATGTGATATGTCTGATGGCCAATGAAAACTTCAGAGGTTTGTGGCCTTTTAAATTTTGATGTGAAACTAGAGCTTATCAGTGCAAAGTAAGAAAGCAAATATATACTCTGTGAGCCTAATTGAAACGCACTAAAGGAAGTTAAAGATTAAGGTCTGTCAGGATAGACTGTATTCGTCTGTGGGTTTATTGTAACTCTTGATTCAAATTAATAATGTCCTTTTGGTACCATAATTTCAGATCAAGTGTTTTGGAAACTGCCTCAGTACCAATTCTAGTTAGGAGGGAATGCCATGTCACACACATGAGCTGACCCTCACACAGAAACCTACTATCCTTAGCTCAATGCTTTGTTTCATGGCTGTTTTCCGCTTATTTGAAGGCCCCCTGTCTTCTATAATTCTTGCATAATAGTTTGGCTTTATATTCCATAGATTTTGGCCATTGTAACTTTTCCTTCACTTCTTGTAAATGCTCCATGTAGGTGCGTGGCTAGTATGTGTTTTTGTTTTGTTTGTGTGTTCACTGCAGAAAGATCTCACCGGGTTTTAGAAAAAAGTTGAAATCTTGAATTTTTTTTTTTTCCTTTTGAGGAGAGTGGTGCTTTTTTACAAGCCTTTTTACAAGCTTTACATTCAGAAATGACACATATTTAGACTAAGACATACTCTTTAAAATGTTAGTGAAATTGGAAAAGAGTTGACAAAAGACTGTTTCAGCTGCTTTTTCTTAAGATTCTTGTCATGTGGGAGCCTTACTGTTTTTCCTCTTATAAATCAGGTCATAGACAGAATTTCAGATTTGTTTTAACTCTCTTAAAGTGCAACTTGTAGTGATGTGAGAAAGTTATATCCAAGTAGATTCCTGCAGGTCACATTTAAAACCAATTCAGCACTTATGAAAGAGATTGAATTCAGAGTTCTGTACTTAAGTAATCAATCCAATTATAGACAGACAGTGAAGGCACACACTTCTTGTCCATATTCATCCACCATTCTCCCCCCCCTAGCAACACTGGCACTTGTCTGACCCTGATTGAGAGCTGGTTTAGCTTGTTGAAGATTTATTCATTTGTTTATTAACATGAAGATGCATGAAGAAAAGTGTTCATTTATTTATCTAACAGGAGGTTAGCTTTGTGTTGCGTTGGTGAACTGTGTTGGCTGGGAGTGCTAGTGCCAGGCCAGTAAGGGAGAGGGAAGAAGGTAGTGCTTTTAGGCAGCTGGATGCTTCACTACCTTTGCTGTACTAAGAAATGGCACAAAAAAGAGAGCTGAGGCATATTTCATTTGTGGGTCTGAACCCCCAGGACCTATGCATAGCAGACTGAAAACCATTACACTACATCAGGGATCTAAAACTTTTTTCTGTCAAAGTCTGAATTTAGATTTGTTATAATGATTCTTTTTTCTTTACTTGTGTCTGAGTACTGAAAAAATGGATAAAATGTCATTTACTGTTTTTCAGATCATTGTTACATGTGAGCTTTCAGATTATGAGTTTCTGGAGCAGAAATACAAATTTTCTTCCAACATGACTTTCTTTAATGGCTACATTTTGAAGTATTTAGCTGGAGTATAATGGACTTCCATTTTAGAGACTTGCATTTTATGACATATTGTAGTGCTTTGAATAATGGTTTTTAGCCCTTGTTCAGTAAGAATTGCTTATGCTTACTTTTATCTGGATGTACTGACTGTGTCAGACTGTGTTAGAGCTGTGATTTTTTAAAAAATATTAATATTAATTTTAATTTTATATATATATATAAGCCTGCTTTTGTATTTGGCAAAATAAGAAAAGCCTTGGAAGCAGAGGAGTGCACAGGTAACTGTAATGGGAAGAAGTAGTGGTAAAAGTTAACCATCTTCCCATGGAAGAAAAATCATAGAAGCTAAATAACAAAAATGTCCTGTAACAAAAGAGCTCCCAGGATAAGCTGTCTGTGGCCATGACTTGAAGCTCTGTTAGAAGTCTTTCTGTTACAAGGACTTTCTGGCCTACACGTACATAAGTAACAAACATGGTTTTCTTCCTGGGAAAGTCTCAGCTCTTGATCTAAGCGTGGAGTCTTTTGGTTTGGGAAAAGGGTCAGTTTTCTTTAGTTCTGTTGTCAAATGTGAAAAGCTTTTTTCAACTTTAATAGTCACGCAGTGATTGATGAGACATTTACTAGTTTTTGCTGTCCTAAGGTCTTCCAGAAAGTGGTTAAATATGCGTAACTCTAAAAGTGAACACTAGGTGGTACTATTTCATAACTGCAGTTACACTTGATGCTTCAGCGGACATCGCTGGAGCTGACCTCGTCCACAATTTTTTACAAGGGACATAGACCTTTTAATTAAGGTATGCTTGATTTCCATTTCTATTTCTGATTCAGACAGGCTGTTTGTGGTTAAGGACAATAGGCAATAGTTTGATTATCACTATTAAATTAGTAAGTAAGATAAGAAGTAGAAGTACTTTCCAGTAAAATAGTAAAACCAGCTCAGAGAAGGTGACATGATGTGTGTAAAAGAAAGACAGTGTGTTTTCCCTAATTCCCCTTTGGTTCCCATTTAGTTTTGAACTTGTATGTTCACAGGAGACTAAAGAAAAATTGGAGACATGACATCAATGTACCACAGTCATCTGGTTAAAAATGAGCTGTTTTCACTTCCTCTTTTAATACTTCCTTCATTAGCTCAGCAGTCTATTTTTTAATTCAAGAATTGTAACTAGAAATTTAGCAATTCATTTGTAATGCTGAAGGTCTAGGAAGCATCTGTTGCATGCATATTTATGACAATATTTTTTTTTTGTTTGGAGGAGGGGATAAAATTCCTTTTAAAGATTATGCAGTAGCAAGGGCATGGAAGAGCCATACTGTTCTGTTTCGTCTAAGAGCTGGTGTGTAAAGTCTAGGATGGGAGATGAGAAGTCACTGGCATAAAGAATCTAAATAAATTTTTAATCAGTGATAGTAATACAGCTGATACAATGATAGTAATACAGGTAATTTTAAAATTACCAATGCTGGTTTTTAGTTGGTAGCAGTTTAGTAGTACAACAAAAATTTTAAACTACTACAGGAAGAGTGAACCACTAAAAGGGAATAATAGATCCTGATTTCATTCACGCACTTTATTTTTAATGTCTCTCTCTCATAACAGTTGTCAAGTCAGAAGCCAGTCAAAGTGACGCACAAAGTGCACACTGCACTTGGGTTTCATATTGCCATTTCTAGGGATGAATCCTTCCATCTAGCAACTAGCATCTGAGTTCTGTTTGACTGCAGAACTGTCCTAATTGTAGCACTTTTTTATTTGCAGTAGGCCAGAACAGCTGTGTGCTAGTAGGCTAACAACTGCTTACTGGACAAAGGGTTTTCACATTATTGCCATTTCAAAGTGAATTTTGTAGTTTACTTAAGCACTTAAGACACAGATTTATTTTTAGTAAAAATGGGCCAAGTGAATGGTGATTTTTCCACAATGTCTCCTAGGAAATGTGGTATTTAAGAAGTAGGAATTCTAGTTCTCCTCTTACTGATTCATTAACAGCATAATTTTTCAAATTGTGATGCTCTTTGGGCAGTGTCCCTCAGGACCTTAGATTAGTCTTTAATATTTGTTGTGCTTTCCAGAACCTGTTGCAACATGAAATGCCAGTCTTTCACTCCAGGAGCTAACAGGCAAATGTCCTCTGCTGAGAAGATTTAGCTTATAACAAAATACAACAGTCAAACATTTTTTTGTCACAGATACAGTTAGTGCTCTGTTTTCTCTTTGTGGGTATGACTGTAGTATACCAGTGTTTAGTGCAGTGTTTAGGCTAAAATGACCTTCATTACACCTGTAGAATAATTTAAAAGTACTTTTGATTGAAAGGTGAAGGAAGTGGAGAATTGCAGGTGGTTCACTCCATGTGTATTAGATCCAAAGACTTGTCTGATAGAGAAACTTGAACACTTTAACCATGTTGAAGTACTTAGACTAATAAAAGCTTCTAGTTTATATGTTTCATGTGTGCAGAGTGTATTTTAAATTTAAAACTAACATGCTGATAAATGTCATCAGAACTGGTAGACCACAATGCATAGTGAAGTTTTTTAGGGCTTCCAGCATTATAACTATTCTTGTTCGATTAGTATGGGGCAATTTTCCCAAATCTCCATGAGGATTTTTAGATGAAAGGCTGAAGAGTTGAAAAAAAAAGGGGGAGAGAATTTAAGAACAGACAAGTGCTATTTAACTACCACACTCATTAGGCTTTTACTTTCAGAGGCTGAAGCAAGTTTGAGCCCTGAAAACCTGTAGTTAACTCTAAATAATTGTGTGGTGCACACTTCTGTATGCTACATGCTCAGGTACTGTGACACATTTAAAATACATTATACTGAATCACTAACAGAAGTATTCTGGTACCTGTGTTTTGGGTGAGAGAAATGGATTCAATTAAAAATTTGCTTTTCACATCACTTAACTATTTTACTCTAACAGTATTGAATTAGATCAGTGCTAGCTTAAAACTGCATACAGTTTGTTTGTCCTTATACATGTTGCAAAGTATCTTAAAACAATTCTGCTTAGGAACAATCGGTATTAAGAGGGAGGAAGCCAGAGGAAAAAATCTGTTAACTCTGGGCACTTTTCCAGGGAAGCAGTCCTTTTTTTTTTTTTTTTTTTTTTTTTTTTTTTTTTT